TCGACTTCCTAGTAAAATTTATTTTTGTAAAAGGTGATCATTTATAGCCGACTGAAATCTATGAGAAAGTAATTAAATGTATTCTCGTAAACAAAATGCTTTAAATTTTCTGTAATATTTTCTTTGACATTGTAAAAGGAGTGTGTTTATCAACACTTGTCATTTTAATTTTTTTGTGTAAGTACATAGACACTTAAGACTTTTATGTATTTTTTAATTCACTCGAGTGCAGCTGTTCATGCATGCAGTTAACCCGACTGCATAAGACCAACGCGAAGTAAAAAAACCCAGGAACGTTGACCAGACTGATTCTCTTAATTCCATCAGAATGTGTTTGCACTGTGTTTTAACTGCTTATTATGATTTCCAATTTTTATAGATTAACATTGATTGATTAGATGCCGCAATCATAATGATAATAAACATGTTAAATATTTAAGATCAAGGAAGAGTGGGCATTCACGTTGTCGGATCTTCTCGGTGGGTTGCGATTCTGATCCGGCAGTAGATTCTGCGAAGCACTGCTCTTGCTAAGGCTAGTGTTAGCAAATCCTCTCAGGTTGAGCCCGTGATCGCACCTATCCGTCCACTCGAAAATGGAATGGCCCCATAGAATAGCTAATAGATAGGGGGAAAAGTTGTGTTTTAGAGCTTCCGTACCCCTAAAGATTAGGTATCGTTTATACAGTTTAGCACAAGTAAGTAAATATATTTTAAAAACTAAATATTGTATAAAGAGGGTAAAAGGTGTACTAAATATAAAAAAAAAAAAAAAAAACTAAGTAATATAGGCCTGTACAGATTTTTTCCAATGACGACATTCTAATTAAAATTCAAAATGAAAAGGGTGCAAACCGCAATTTCAAGCTACATTCATCTCTAACACTCAAAAAGTAAAGTTCAATGTCCTATCCTTAAAAGGATAGCCATCTGCGTTATATTTGAACATGCTACTTCACACTTGGCCACATTGGATGAGACAACATGAATTATTTATCGTTTTATTAATACGTGAACGTAATCGAACACTGAAGTGAATGAATTTGTTACCAATATTTATTACGAAAATAACTTAGCTATGAAAAATATTACTTTTCTTCAGAACATTCCCATTCCACGGAATACATGACGTAAATACATAGACTAAGAGAGAAAACATTCACTGCTAAAATCACGAGCATTGTTTACGTCCGCCCTACTTAGTTGAGTTTTTTAAATATTACCTATACATCTAATGTAGGTTTTTTTTTTAAATTTCTTTTGGGAAACGACAAAAAATGAGAAACCCATAAGTAAATACCTATCATCGTCACATCCGAAATCATGGACACTGCTTGCATCGGAGAAAACATTAGGAGTAAATTCCTGCTATAAGTAATCGAGGGCTGTAGAAATAATCGTGGTTTGAAATTGGGCATGTGAGATATTCTAAGATATTACTTACAAATAAAATTAAGGTTTCTCTTTGACATTTTTTTTGATAAATAAATAGTTGTTAAGGTTGTGTAAACAATATGCTTCTAAAATCCTTAGAACCCATGAATGCTGTCTAAATTCCATCAGAACCATGTCTGAATTAAAAAAATAAAATTGGATGTGAATTAGTAGATATATTGTAAAACAAAGCTTCAACAAAAATTGGTTTAAAAAATATTGTTTTTTTTTTATACCATTATGTTAATTCTGACTACAAAACTCTTGATTTTAGTTCATTTTCCTACATTTGACTTCACGGATTTTTTAAAATAATTTAGTTACTAGTTAGACATTTGTATATACATTAGTGAGAAGTTATAAAACGCACTTGAAAAAAGTTAATTCAATTTAAATAACTATTAAAATCAATTTAAAAAATTTTAAACATGCAAAAGTTTAAAATATCGCACACAGTTACATTTGAACAACAGCTTTAAACTATATTACATAGCTACGGTATGAGCTAAACAAATTTGCATATAAAATAATTAGTCAAGGCAACCGTTTTGGACAGGATGACACCTACACAAACAAAATCAAGATGTTTCATGTATTGTATTTTGGTTATTTTGAAGGTTAAATCTGCTTGTGTTTGAATTATGACAATTAAAACGGTAAGCAGCGGCTTGGGTCTGGCATTGCTGAAATCCATGGGCGACGATAGCCACTCAACATCAGGTGGGCCAGTGCGCTCGACTACTAAGGCATTAAATAAAAAATTATATTGAGTTTGGAGGCTGACAAGCTTACAGCTCTCTCATAGGTTAGCTATAATGATTGCTCATGGACATCGACAATGGTTATGGCTGTTGAAGAAGCATCTATTAGATGCAGAGCACTGCGGCAATGCAAGGCATAGTTCATTCCAAAACTGGAAGATATGTGGCAAAACTGATAAATCGACAGCGCATATCATCAATTTATCGATTGATCAACCTACTAACTAGGACCGCTTTAGCAGTAGTGGTGCTTCTGCTTCTGCTTTAGCAGTAGTGCAGTAGTACTGCTTTAGCAGTTCTAGTTGATAGGTATAAACTCTGCTATAATCGACGATAGTGCTTTGATAAAAATGAGCTGACGGGTCCATTTCAAACATTTCCTCAGAACACTATCCATTTAACAAATGATACAAAACATAAATAACACCAAATATTCTGTATAGAGTCATAAGTTTTAGACACTGTGAGATGGGGATTATCTGAATTTGGTTTTTGACTGGTTAAGTCTGGCTAAGTCTAGTTTTTAAATTGGTATGGTTGGATATTGATAATTTCATGTATCTCTAAAATTAATATGACTAACAATCTGTATTCTGTATATATAAGTGAAATAATTAAAACAATAGAAATGATAATCGGTACTGTTCGTTATGATATTGTGATAGTGGCATGTTATTCATCTGCCTACATTAAAGCATAAAACAATCGTTTTCTACAATTCTCATTAATCAACTTTGAATACTGAGGATTTTATAGTAAACTCATTCAGATCAACGTGGTGCTTCCACCATTTTGAATTAGTGTAGATTCATTGATTTGGATGTTTGAATATTCTGTGGGTTTTCTGTACAGAAATACATTGAAGAAATTTATTTATACAGAAAACACCACTTACATACATCAGCAGATCCAAGGGAAATAGCAAGTCATTTTTATATGTCTTAAAACAGTAATCAATCAATCAGATAGAGTTCAAAACCAAAATAGCATAAATTAAAACAGCATTTATATGCTTCATAATGATCCTAAATGCAGTCCGACTTTTACTAACCAGCAATTTAAAGATATCAAAAGGTAAATGAAAAGATAGTATCAAAAGTATATACAGGCTGCAAACCTTGGGTAATAATGAACAAAATTTATATTACATATTAAGGATTTCAGTAGTTCTGAATTTATGAGCAATGAGAGAGTGGTAAGCACAGCCACAAAAAAAAACCTGATCACCTAATTGTTCAGTCGGAAAACATCTGTCAGAACACAATCTGTTTACACAATAAAAAATGTATTGCGCCTTATTCTATATTTATTTACACACAAAAAGTAATAAACAGCAGTCAGATTTTAGATTCAATGTCAACTAAGACTACACTCAGAATACCCATTTATTTCACAGGAACAGGCCCAGCACAAGAAAAATACAAAACAAAACCTACACAAAATATTATGCTGATTTCTGTAGCAAATTGTAGTTACTTGTTTAAATTAGTTTTACGGGCACATTGTCAAGGCTTCAGAAACACAATGGGTATATTAAGATGATACATACTCATCATAAAAAAATTATCTGTCATGGAAAAATGCTGATAACTAACTTAATTCTAAATAAATTTAAACAAATAGCCAATGTATTATTTGTATCAACAAATTTGAATTGAATTTTCTATCTTCACATTTGTTCGCGTTATACTTTTCCTTTACTTTTTATCTCTTACTTGAATTTGATTTATGAATCTAGATCCTTGCTTCTCTTATGTTCCTATTGAAATATTTTTTTCAATATTTGAGCAAAAATTGTAGTATATACTTGTACTACTTATATACTTTGTAGTATCATTACATTTACATATAGCTGTCTCATGATTATGTTATTAGGCTAAGTTGGTTTTATTGATTTAAATATATGCTAGTTTCTTTTGTGCTTCCAAACATTACAGTTTATCAATATTTCAATGTAATACTTTTAATCTTTTTTATCATTTATAGATTGTAGGCAATTACCCTGTAGGTGCTGATGTATTTTTGATTCATTGCCTATGCATTATACATTAAATAAAATAGATAATATGTTATCTGTTTCATATACTCTGATAAGATTCTGTCAGAATCAGGTGCAAGTTTTATGCAAAATATTAGAATATGTACATATATTTACGTCAGTCGAATGTAGACTATGACTCAAATATCTGCATCATCAAGTCAACAAGATATTTATTGGACGTCAGCAAAATGAAACCGCTCAAACTGAAGAGAAAATTTACAGTAAAATCGACATTCGTGACCAAAAAAAACAACACAATGTTGAAAAAGATCACGAAGTACTCAATTGACATTTGGAGGATTCAATCATTTTGGACACATTCCTGACTACGCACCGTCTGGCAAGCATTTTTCTAATAATAGAACATACCACGACGTTAAAAAGACATCCAAATATAGGTAAAAAACAAAACACTGGACCGAATATTACACTAGACGTNGACATTCGTCACCAAAAAAAACAACACAATGTTGAAAAAGATCACGAAGTACTCAATTGACATTTGGAGGATTCAATCATTTTGGACACATTCCTGACTACGCACCGTCTGGCAAGCATTTTTCTAATAATAGAACATACCACGACGTTAAAAAGACATCCAAATATAGGTAAAAAACAAAACACTGGACCGAATATTACACTAGACGTTCTCGAAAGCGGTACCAAACCGCGACGTGGGGCCACGACACGGTTAGGGTTACATGATTTTTCAATCACATTTTATCACTAGTTCAACACATTTTCAACTATAATTGCACATATACCTTTGCTTTCAGCGGTTTCGTTAATATTTCTCACGTCATCAACCATCTTGCTGGATGACAGTCACTCACTAAACACTTTTTATTCGAACATATTTCGAAAACTCATACTTTGGTTCACTATTTTCAGCCAGTCAACGAGCAATCTATACAACGACACTTCGTTCCGTTCACTACCAAATGCCAAACCAAACAGCCAACGAGTAAGGATGACGGAACAGAAAGACTACGATGGCGACGAACGACCTTCATTCGTTTGTTAAATATTATCGATGATGTCGTCATCGACTACTTAAAAATTTTAATTATTTATGATTTAATTGTGCATTAAAAAAAATGCTATTACAACTGGAATACGTTCCATTTTATACTTAGTTTGACTGTTATTTTCCAAATCCCAAAATATTTTAAATGACGACGCAATGACACTCTCCTCTGTACACTCATCAGTCATTATTGTCAAGCTGTTAAATTGATATTAATTAAAACTTTTTTAATTAATTAAATGTGCCCTTCGCATTTAACCCAATATTTATGGTCAGTAATATAATAAAAAAAACAAAAACGATTCTTTAAAAATTAACTGTTATTTAAAATGAAACTTGCGCCATCTAGTGTAGAAATAGACATTTTAGAATGCCATCTAGTGTCATCTTCTTATATTTCTAGTTTAAATTTTGCTATGGGCTACAAGATGTCTCTTACAGCAGAGCATTTTTTGAGCAAAATTTTGAAACATTTTGTGATGTTTGCTATCAGTGTTAAACTATGATGTGTGTATTATGGAGGGTAGAGGTGAGGAGAAGCGTCTTTGTGTGTGACAAAGTGTCCGTTAAAATCAGCTATATAAGCATGGCGCTACAGTAGCAACCGGTTAAATTTAAAAAAAGGCGCTGAAAGTTATTACAATAAGATAGAGAAATGAAAAAAGGACGAAAGAACTGTAAGCACTACAAAATCACAAAAAGTATTTTATTTAGCTGATGAGAAAATGCAATCGATGTCTCCACGTTTTACCATAGCAATAATTTTAGGTTATATTGACGAAATTCGTTTGGACTACGTAAACATGTAAGGCTTGTATATTACATTGTCACTAACTACTCTAGTCATTAAATATATTAAATTTCATAACTCAGCATACTTCAATCAGTTAACAACTGCTCAATTCATATCATACCCTGTGCCTATGTTAGCGCCATTCTGGAGGATTTTGTATGTCAGGTTTAAATGTTTATAACGGTAGTTTATTAACCGTTTGGCATTTGTGAAAGTGCACAATGTAAGGAAATGAAACCAAGTTGCTGGACGTGGGCAAAAAAATCTGAGAATTGAAGTCTCATTAAATAACCAACATTTTAATGAGACTAATTCATCCCATCTCATCTCGCTTTATTTAATTTTATTCGCTTATTATTTTACGCTGCATTTCATTTTTCTTACTACTCTGATGGGATTAGAGCAGATTAGATTAGATTAGATAGATTAGATTAGAGATGAGAACAACTGATGAGATTAAAGCAAGAAGTTTAGAGAAAGCGGCCGAAATTAATCAACAGAAGGGGTGTGGTTTTTCATCATAACGCTAGAGCTTTAGAGCTTGGCTGGGAGGTGTTAATGCATCCGCCGTATAGTCCTGAACTTACACCTTCAGATTTCCACCTGTTTCGGTATCTTCAGAATCCTTTAGGCAGTGTCAGGTTAACATCACGAGAGGACTGCCAAAACCAATTGTGGCGGTATTTTGATCAGAATCCCCAAAATTTCTATAGCAATGGGATCATGTCCCTACCTACAAGATGGCAAAAAGTTATCGAACAAAATGGTACTTACCTACATACTTTAGTTAATTTTATATGAACTATATTAAAAAATGTTGTGAATTTTCTTAAAAAATACGAATAAACTTTTTCCCCAGCCTAATACCAAACCAAAAACATTTTTAAATGCTTTTTCCGGATTTGGGTTCAGCTCTCATCGCGAATTCTCCTTTACGTCTTCTAACTAAATGAAAACGGGTGCCAGGAAGTGGTAATTTTAGTTTAGGAAAAAGAAAGAAGTCGGCTGCAGCCATATCTGATTTATNTTGTGAATTTTCTTAAAAAATACGAATAAACTTTTTCCCCAGCCTAATACCAAACCAAAAACATTTTTAAATGCTTTTTCCGGATTTGGGTTCAGCTCTCATCGCGAATTCTCCTTTACGTCTTCTAACTAAATGAAAACGGGTGCCAGGAAGTGGTAATTTTAGTTTAGGAAAAAGAAAGAAGTCGGCTGCAGCCATATCTGATTTATAAGTCGTCATATGAATGTTTGCCCGATTTCAGCATCAAATCCACATCCTAGTAGTTAGGGGATAACTATTCCACCACCAAGCTAGTCAGAGCGCAGCGGGTTCTCCCCGTATGCTGATTTTCTGAGACTGACAAGGAAGGAACCCAATAAGATAACTTCTACACGCGTCTTGCTAAGTAACCAGATGACCGCACTCTTTCCCGTCCATCCTGGCTTCTGCTCAGCGAAGTTTCCCGGGGACTCGAGCCAACGGTGTCGTCTAGGCGGGTTTTGGGTTGAGTGTTTTTTAACCGAGAGGCCCTGTGGTCATGGCGCCAATTTTCGCCAGTCCGACGATACGTGGATTAAAGACTCCGTTGCTCATGCTTTGCCTACCGTCTCCAACCGACTCAAAAAAGAGCATATCGGAGCTCGCATGAGTAGGTTTCACTATACTGCCATTTTTATGCCACGAAGAAATTGTTGTGCATTCCAGTTTGAAAATGAAATATTCTCCATAGGACAGTCGTTTGCGTTAGTAAAATATTTTACCATTGGAAAAAATGATGATTTGCTGGAATCGAGAAATATTTGAGAGCGTTTAAAAATATTTAATTAACGATTCAAACACAACACGCGTACGCGGCATCAAACAGATTTCTACACACAATCCGTCGACGCTTACAAAAAAACCCTGAAATCCTCTTGAAAATTCTATGCAACAGTAATGACGAATTCAAGTAAAGACGAAAGGTCACTAATTGATTCGATTTACTAGTCTGCACTCTGCGCATAGACATAAACTAATAATATACATACAAAAGATATAACTATGCGCCTTGGGTGAGCACCCACCTAGCCACCTGTGTCACTGGCCACTCACACTGACTTGCAAGCCACAGTTTACGTTCGACTTTCAAACGCGTTCGTTGCGCGCGAAACAGCTGTCAGAAATTGGCGCCAATTTCGATATTTGATAACAATTTTTATTTTGTTTACCTAGTATAATTTTGTTGTGAACCAAAAAAAAATGTGTCCAAGATAATGTTTTGTTTAGTAAATTCTAATATTCAATATTAGTAATGCGAGTGTTTTCAGTGTAATAGTGGTTACTAATAGTGAAAGTGTTAAAGGATTTATTTATTTAGTCAAAATGAAGCGGTTGTTATTGGGTGGATTTTTATTTCTTTCTGTTTTGGTTGGTGAGTGAAGAATTAAATGGTTATTTATTAATTTATTTAGTTGTATCAATAAAGTGATCACCAATGGAAAACATCGACGACTTGATATATTAAAATTTATTATATGTCACCTCGATTTTAGGTACAAACGACAGAGCAATGTTGACAACATCGTGAAATTAAAGTTAAGAATAATTTAATAACAACACAACCAATAATTTTTTTTATATATTAAATCCTGATGGTTGTCTGGAAGAGATCGCTTTTAGCGATAAGACCGCCAATTGTACTTTTTTGTTTTTAATGTATCGCACTGTTTATTTGTTTTTTGGTGTACAATAAAGAATACTCTCTCTCTCTCTCTCTCTCTAAATCCATAATATGTAGTAGAATGTCATATAGTAACAAAACATAGTTATTGAGAGAAAAAATAATAAGTCAAATTTAAGTAAATAATTATGATAAAAATAATGTGTAGTATTAAAACTGATCTCTATAATTCTAGAACAAACTCAGTCTAGGATTAAATACTAAATTATTTGCAATCAAATCCTTGAAGTAATTATTCATATTCACACCACAAACGAAGGTCGTCGGATGTTGACAAACAAAGTTAATGCATACCAAAAAGTATTTATATAATAAAAAATAAAAACATCACTAAATAAGCTAATTAAAGCGTACTCCATTTCCAAATGCGATAAATTGATAAAACAAATTCTAGATTTCCAAATAGTCTGTTTGTTTATGACGTGTGTCGGAATTCGAATTTAAAAATCGCTTAGTTAGCGAGTTAGGCGGACACGCTTTCGCCGACAGCTGCGACCGACAGTGAAAGTATTTTAAATATTCAATGTCAACGATGTAATGAATTGCGGAAGTCCATAAATTATTGGGAATCAAAACTCTTTCCAAACTACCTAAAGCTTGCGAAAGTTTCGAAAAAGAAGGTTTATACCACATAATACCATGAAGGTTGTAAACTCGAGGCTGTCAATCCGTTGATTTTAGAATGATTTGATTTAGGATTAGGAGGATTTTAGGTGGGGCGATGATCTCCGAACGGTGGCCGGCAAGAAGTGGATGAGGAGAGCCGTAGACCGGGATCAGTGGTGTGGATTGGGAGAGGCCTATGTCCAGCAGTGGACCACTGTGGGCTGTTGATGATGATGATGATGATTTTAGGAATTAAAAATATCTATTTTTCTGCACGATTTAAAAAACCACGTTCTCCCCATATATTTTTTTTCCTACCTATGCTGATGAGAGCCTTGAGAGGCTATTACAGCTTCATCCTAACGTGTAGATGAGCTCAAGGGGCTCAAACCGGAGTGTTGCTAACACTGGCCCTAGCAAGAGCACTGCTTCGCAGAATCTACCGCCGGATCGGAGACGCGACCCACTGAGAAGATCCGGCGAGAAACTCAGTGGGCTGTGTCTATGGGTTAATTCGCTCGTTGAGACCTTCATCGCAAGCGATGGGTTCGACGAAAGCGGTGACCGGTGCTTGTGGTACTAAAAGCACCGTTAATGGATCGGGAGGATCCGTAAATTGGGAAGATCCGTACCCATAATTGAGAACATCTCTTTTCTATTATGTTAATGATAAAATAACAGCTGGGTTTTCAAGTTTTGATTATAGTGGTTACAAATGAAGCATACATATCATTTAAATATTTTAAAAGTAATATCCAAGTTTTGCACGATGCTCGTGATATTTAAAAGCGACACGTGAATGTTAATTGATATTTATCAAGACAAGCTGT